GCCAAACCAAAAACTAATATCGGTGTCTGGAGCTCAATTTTTGTTAAAACCGTGATGGTGAAAACCGCGTATCGATATCTGTTACCGTTTCGGAGTTACGGGGTGTTTTTCAAAAATATGCATTTTTAACAAATCGCTGTAACTTTTTTGCTATGGAAAATTTTGTATTTTTACGAAAACATTTCCAAAGCACCTTTTTACGTAGAATTTAATGGTGTAAGTATAATTTTTTAAAAATTAATAATTTAAGAATTATTAACAGAAAATTTGATTTTTTATATGGGACACCTGTATATTTTTAATTTATTGAAAAGAATTTTAAATTACCTTTCCAAAAATATAACACACTTGATATTTTGCTCGGTTCCCCTTCGAGATATCGAGTATATAAAAATTCGCCCGCTTTAATTAAGTAGGCTTTGAACGGCACCGGCTGTAATGCAAAAAAATTCTAGCTGTGAGCATCAGTTAAAACGAAAATAATATTTGCTATGAGAGATGCAAAATTTTATAACAATTTAAAATATATTTAACCAACATCAACACATTTAAACTATATCTAATAACTATAAAAATAAATAGCAAACCAAGACAGGAGATTTTGCTACAGGTGTTCGACATATCGACCGTCTTCTGTTATGGACAGACAGGGCATGTTCTCGCGGAATTCATTAACTCATGGGCACTAAGTCAGGCGGCCTCGACGGCCAACGGCTGGGATCTTGGTTAGCTATTCAATTATTCTTGAAACTGGCTGCAAAAATTTTCTGAAAACTTTAGCGTTCAGAGGCGGTACGTCGTCTTGCTGGAAAAATATGTTTTCGAGTTCCATTAAGGGCATATCATCAATAAGGGGTCCAAAGCCTACTAGTTAAAAGTGGCGAACTTTTAAAATTTCTGTATTTCTAAGGGGATTATAACAAAATATCAAGTGTGCTATATTTTTGGAAAGGTAATTTTAAATTCTTTTTAGATAATTAAAAATATAGAGGGTGTCCCAAATATAAAAACTATTTTTCTGTTGATAACTCTTAAATTATTAATTTTAAAAAAATTATACTTAAACCATTAAATTCTACGTACAAAGGTGCTTTGGAAATGTTTTGATAGAAATACAAAATTTTCCATAGTAAAAAAGTTACAGCGATTTGTTAAAAATGCAAATTTTTGAAAAACACCCCGTAACTCCGAAACGGTAACAGATATTGATATGCAGTTTTCACCATCATCTTTTTGATGAAAATTGAGCTCCAGATACCGATATTAGTTTTTCTCTATCTCCTATAGAAAAGGGTGTTTCCATTTAAAAGCGTCGAATTTGACCCACCCTGTACACTTCGTACTAAAAGAGGTTCTATAAAGAACAATGTCCGACTGCAAGGTCTGCTAGTAAAAAATTTTAACATTAAAACATAACAACACAATTGATTTAAACCAAAAACTCGTAATACAAAACTAAAGTGTCAAAAGGAATGACAATGTCAGGAAATAAATAAATGCGGCGGCAGCTTCACATTTTTTATAGCAGAGCTACCCCCTGAATAAGCTTCACATTTTTTATAGCAGAGCTACCCCCTGAATACCATGCGGGAAATTCAAATTCCATCAGTTAGTCAGGCCGGCGACGAATATGTTGCCACAGTTGGCAACAATAATTTAAATCGCGCCCCCGATTACGTAACTAAAAGTTTTGTCGGTATCAAATATACATACATGTATCGATGTTTCTTATAAGATGCACCTCCCTATAATTCGAGTTATAATTCTAACTTGCTGTTAAATATTCCTACGTTAGCTCAGCAATTGACAGATAATTATCCCGATTAACTTTTCCAATTAAAATTGAAAAATAGGGATGATAATTAGGCTCTTTGATCGTTCTTTATAAAACACGCTAAGTTCGCGATCTACGTAAACATTTCTTTTATATTATTTTCTTTTTCGTCGTTTTTATTGCAAAGCACGATTAAATGTTTTTCTTCTAATATTTTTTACTGAAAAAGGAAATTTTCTTTATAATTAATTAAACCGTTTGTTTTTGCAAGTCTTAAAAATGCTGAATTTATCAGAATTTAATGAAAAGATTGATATTTTATTTGATAAAAATTTTTTATTATACCAATTTTTTATTTAGTATTACAGCCTACTCAAAACCAGCTTGTCGATTTTATTTGCTTCGAAGTAAAATTGACACTTTTCGTGGCGAAGCTGTACGTTTGACTTGGCCGGACATACAGCCGAGGCACAAAAAGTCATTTTTGACTCCGAATAGAACATGGTATTCTTTTTCAAACGCCACAAATAATATATTTTCGTTTTTTTATGCTTAGGCGTAAAAGTGCTTTACTTTTATGCCTAGGCATTAAATTAATTTTTTATATTGTCAGTCATGTCGCAAAAATTAATACTTTTGTGACATTTGAAAAGAAAATTTCAAATTATTTTTACTTGTTTTACAGTTCCGTTGATGCGGCGTATACCTGTTGAGATATCCCTTCTATTTAAAAATGAACATATTTCTTTAATTCCAAAAGATTCAGATTTTTAAGACACTCTGTATATATAAATAATTATTTATTTTTAAAATATTTATACACAAACTAGGGAGAGGTTTCCCTCTCCTTCAGACCATTAACAGATATGATAGGTGTTATAGGTAATACCTTTAAAATGCGCCACACATTGTACGATTTATCGTACTACAAGTTCTACAACACCAAATCGTTTCGACCGTTGGATCAATGGTTGGATATAGCTAGTGGCATAGTAGTACAACTTGCAGCTCGACTCTGTCGTATCGTACGGAAGTAACAGCATGCATAAAATCTGTAGTACAGCGCAGTAGTAGATACGATAGGTTTGATAGTATGTGTGCCAGCACTTCTTTCACGAAGTAATATATATGTACTGATTTCTTTCGAAAATCGACAACTATGAAACTATGATCCCTTCCCAGACACAAACGGTACATTGTGAAACAGGAAATTGTAGAGAGAAACAAGCCCTATAACAGAAACAAGCCCAACAACATTTTAATGAACAGTTCTTTCCATAAAATCAATAACATGAAAAAATATACGAAATAATATATGTGTATATGTACTGATTTCTTTCGAAAATCGACAACGATGAAACTATGAACCCTTCCCGGACACAAACTGTACATTCTGAGACAGGAAATTGTAGAGAGAAACGAGCCCTATAACATAGAATACAACATTTTAATGAACAATGCTTTCTATAAAATCAATAAAATGAAAAATATACGAAATAATATATATGTACTGATATCTTTCGAAAATCGACAACTATGAAACTATGATCCCTTCCCGGACACAAACGGTACATTGTGAGATAGAAAATTGTAGAAAGAAACAAGCCCTATAACACAGGATACAACATTTTAATGAACAGTCCTTTCCATAAAATCAATAAAATAAAAAATATACGAAATAATTATATATGTACTGATTTCTTTCGAAAATCGACAACTATGAAGCTATGAATCCTTCCCGGACACAAACGGTACATTGTGAAACAGGAAATTGTAGAAAGAAATAAGCCCTATAACATAGAATACAATATTTTAATGAACAGTGCTTTCCATAAAATCAATAAAATGAAAAATATACGAAATAATATAGATGTACTGATTTCTTTCGAAAATCGACAACAATGAAACTTTGATCCCTTCCCGGACACAAACGGTACATTGTGAAGCAGGGAATTGTAGAGAGAAACAAGCCCTATAACATAGGATACAACATTTTAATGAACAGTTCTTTCCATAAAATCAATAAAATGAAAAATATACGAAATAATATACATGTACTGATTTCTTTCGAAAATCGACAACGATGAAACTATGAACCCTTTCCGGACACAAACGGTACATTGTGAGACAGGCAATTGTAGAGAGAAACAAGCCCTATAACATAGGATACATTTTAATGAACAGTGCTTTCCATAAAATCAATAAAATGAAAAATATACGAAGTAATATATATGTACTGATGATTTCTTTCGAAAATCGACAACTATGAAACTATGATCCCTTCCCGGACACAAACAGTACATTGTGAAGCAGGAAATTGTAGAGAGAAACAAGCCCTATAACATAGTATACAACATTTTAATGAACAGTTCTTTCCATAAAATCAATAAAATGAAAAATATACGAAATAATATACATGTACTGATTTCTTTCGAAAATCGACAACGATGAAACTATGAACCCTTCCCGGACACAAACGGTACATTGTGAGACAGGCAATTGTAGAGAGAAACAAGCCCTATAACATAGGATACATTTTAATGAACAGTACTTTCCATAAAATCAATATAATGAAAAATATACGAAATAATATACATGTACTGGTTTCTTTCGAAAATCGACAACTATGAAACTATGAACCCTTCCCGGACACAAACGGTACATTGTGAAACAGGAAATTGTAGAGAGAAACAAGCCCTATAGAGGGGCGTATATACGGGAGGGGTAATGGGTGTAATTACCCCTCCCAGAAAGATATTAATTAATAAGATAAAATTTGGTATAAAATAAAATTGTTACAAAAAAGTTAATAATACAAATTAAAACAGAATATCCAAAGCAATCCAAGTAGATTTTTTCCACATTTACAATACCTTCCAGCAAGAATTTAATTCAAATTTAGTACTTTTTTGAATATTCACACTACCCCTCCCAGACTCAATCTCTAGATGCGCCACTGACTGTTACTAGAAATAATAAATAATTAGGGAATTTTTTAAATAATTTTCTGTATATTTTGTTTATGAGGCGCAATAGTCACTGTTTTATTTTTTTATTATATTATATATCTGTCACAGATAATAAGATTGGAACTATGAGCCAGCTCTTAACCGCAATCTTACTGTAAAACAGCATCCGTTACGGACCTGTGTAATCGTTCCGACGCCCCGCGTCCTTACATTCAACAGGCGTTTCGACGCTGAGCGTCTGTCTGCGTCCGGTTACCACGCTGGATCGCTCGTCGTGTCCGTGGTTTTCCAGCCAACATCTGGAAAGCACGCGTGTTAATCGTTCTTTTTCTCGCCGAAAGCGCCAAAACAGCAACATATTGACCACAGCTTTTTTTATAATTTTGCTGCCCTTTTTTGAAATTGGATAAGGTAAAACTATGTCATAGTTTCTCGATGTTGTATGTTTGGCTTGTTTTTATTAATGTTACGGCAGTTTTTTAACTAAGACATATACTATTGTTTTATTGGATTCAAAAATTATATTTTTTGCTACAAATGTAAATTATTTTTTTCTATATGTAAGGTATAGTGGAGTGCCCAGAGACTTTTACCTCGGAATTCAATTACTGTCAATGTATTAATGTGAAACCTTCTGTATTGTGTTTTATAGATAAAATACTAAAATGTTTACCCATTTTTTTTCGTTGCTTTTAATTTTTTATTTTAGTAATTTTAGTAAATTCTTAATTATTTCCTTCTTAATGTTTTGATTCCTTTAATTCTATTTCCAAGTAAATTTATTGAAGTAAATAAATCTAATGCATAAGCTATACCTTTCTGCTTATATTCTAATCATTGAAATTTTAATTGAAATCGAATTATACAGGGTGGCGCGTCATATACGACGCGGTTTTTGCAAGGAGAACAAAAGTTTGTATTGAAGTGAAATTTTGTGAGCTTATGTAAGTTATTAAAGCATTTTCTAAAATTATGTAGAGTTCTACAGGGTGTCCCCAAAAAAAGTTACACATCAAAGTTATATTTTTTGTAAGGGAACAACCTATACATTAATTGATTTTTGGATTCTAGTAAACAAATAATGGTTTGTTTTATTAGGAAAGTATATGACTAAAATGTATAGTTTTTGAAATACATTCACAGGCACGAAAAATGGGCACCTTAAAACTTTGATGTATTTTAAAGGTTAATATATTTTGTTTTAATGGGCCGATTTTGATAATTTTTTAAGCAGTGTGTAGCCAAATTATTTTACTTTTTAGTATTTTTTTTCTAAATTAAAAATGAAACTGTTCTGTTAATTATACGAGGGAAAACAAGATGTCGATATTTTGGTGAAAGTTTGAAACACTCTGTAGAATATGTTAAAACAGCAAGAAATTTAAAAATTATTTTATCATCTAGAGACATCTTTTCTCCATGGTTTGTTTTTTGGTTCATCTCATCAGCTTTACTTTTGTTGGAAATATTCGCTTTTGAAGAAGACACTAACATTTTTTCGTATTTTTTACATTAAGACCATGCCTTTGCTTTTGGACCTAGTCAACACATCTAGTAAATTCTGGTCCCAAAGCAGGCCTTCTTGACATAAGATTTGCTTCATTTAATCTTTTTCTTATAGTCCGTTAGTTAATATGTACGTTCCTTAAGTGCAATTCATTATCAATTTCAAAAGCTGGCAAACCGCGGTTTCTTAGCGATAAACTTACAATAAGTCGATCGTTAAAGTTAAGTTATCATACGAAGGTTCCTGGACGTCTAAATTGACGTCCTCATGGACTTGGTTATAATTCAAAAACCACTTAATATACTCTATATGGTATTAAGATATTTTTGAACCGGAATTTTATAGCAAATTCACTGAACTAAACAAATATAGATATATATTTGACTCACCCTGTATATCTATAAAATATTTTTGAAATGTGAACTACCATTAAACCCATATTTTGTAAAAAGTTTGAAGTGAAAATCTCAAACAGGAATCCTGATACAGAGCTTTTCCGGAATGTGGAGCCATCTTGTATGTATGCATTTGTATATGTGTGTTTATTTGAATTCTAAAGTGAAAGCAACCAATTTAAATGGGTAAACTTTGTAATATATTTTATTAACAATACAATGCAAAAAGTTTTATAAAAATTCGTTCACAGTAAATGAATTCGGAGGTTTGTATCCCATAAGGGCTTAAAGCACTCCACTAGTAGATTATATGGAGATTTTCATGAATCACTGGTTAATTTCATTATTTTTGGGTCATCTTGGATGTTGTTATAAGTTAAACTTTTTATTATTTTTAGGGTTTGGTTTTGGTACCTTTAAAAATGGAACCCTTATGGGATCACATTGTTGTTCGTCCATCATTTTAAAACAGCAAAAAATATGCAAAAATTTTACGTTAATTAAAATTCTATCAACAGCAATCTATCATGAATCTATCAAAGAATGATAACCAGGGGCGGGAAAGTGAAATAGCAAAAGCGATTCCACCGTTTCCACGGAAATCTCAAATAAAATAGTTCCAGCCCTAGCCACTAGGTGGTAGTGCAATTAATTTTTAGGTTAAGAAGTTGCTACTAGTTATTGCCAGATGGCGTTAAATCAGAATTTTTTTGTAGTTTCCATAGTTTCCAACGGCCATATTATTGTCAAATTCTCAAAAAATATTGTCGCTGTCATAGCGCCAATCATAATATTATCAAATAAATGATTACCAAAACGTTTTTCAAACTATAATTTGTTATATGTGTTTTAATTAGACAATTCCTTAATGATTCCTTTTGTTTGTGGCCCTAAAAATATAATGTAAGTCTTTTATTTTTACCATCATTTAAGTACCTATTTATATTTACTCCATTTACAAAACTTTGGGCGTATTACGTTGGTCGTGTTTTATTATAATAAACGATGTTTAAATATTTGACTTATAAATAAAAACTTTAAATAATAAATAATATTCCACATGTTTGGCTTTAATTTTATTTAATAATTGTATAAATTATAGTGTTAAATCTTATTTTCTACACATCACAACGATACTTGTTATTAGTATTGTTGAATTTGTGTAAAAAATAAGATTTAATAATCAAATTTAATTATTTTAGTCAACATAGTATACATAAGTCAATAAAATGGAGAGATTAGAAAAAAAAGGTCCATTTTCAAAGTAATTATTGCTATTTTGTAAGTTTAATTTAGGTTTTATGTACTCCAACCCGTGATAATTGTGAAAAAGTGCCATTAAAAACTTAAGAAGCTGTGCTGTGACCTGTGAACTGCAAAAACCATCGTGTATCGTGACATAACGTCGGTTTCCAATGTTTCATATTTATTTCATACATGTCCTTATATAAAATAAAGTTTCTTGTATGCAACACACTGTATTTTACTTAGAAAATTAAAAGAAAATAGGGGAAAACATGATAAGCGCCATTTTACTAATTTTGCAGGAGAGCACTGGACGGCTGGTTAGTTATCAGGTTCTTTAAGTGCATATATTATATATTTTTACTAAGCACATATCATAGGATTTATCAACTTATTGCCCTGCAGAGTTTATACATTTTGTAGAGATCAGTTAGATCTACTATAAGATTGTAAAATCCTAAAATTAAGAAATTGCCGCTTATTAAGTTTTGCCCATGGACCCTTCAATTCTAATATCCATGAAATTTTTGGTAATAATAACTTTTTCGATACTAAATTGTTTAAATTTGTTATTTTAAACTTTATTAGTTTTTCTGTTTTTATGATTCAGTATCAGTAGACCTTAAAAAATCTAGACAAAATAGTCCCATACTCACACTTCGCTCCTTCGTCCCTTCGTCGCGTTACTTCACTTCGTCACTTCACTTCGTTCCTTCGTCGATGCTTGGAAATTAGTTGATTATGCAACAACACACCAAAAATATTTTTAATATAACAGCTACATGTTTATTACGAAATATCTAGTAATCTGTAAAAATTTTAAAAAATCCGAAAGGCGCATAATTTTTATTTTATAAAACTGCAATTCTTTGTCGTGTCAAAAATAATAAATCCGAATATTTCAGTATCATGTACAAGGTATATCAGTATGAGTGTACAAGGCGAGTCAACAATAAAGTTTATTATGTCATTTATATGGAAACCATGAAATATGACATACTAATTAAACGTTGATGTCAATCCCCATTTCTTCAGATATTTTTGTAAAGGCATCATGCACACTATTTCTATTTTTTTATTTTTGTCGCTACGATTACATAAATATCGACATGTATTTCTTCACGAATATGAAGACAATATTGTCTTTTCCTTCCATTTTTAAGACTATTGTGTGTGATATCTATTTTTATATCGACTGGTGATTGCCAGATGTACAGGGTGTCCCATTTTTGTGTGTTAATAAAGATGTCGCTTTCACATCATTGTTCTACTTATTATGAAACTAAATATGCTACACACAGATTTATCCTAGCCTTCTTAGTTCAAATTTATTTCTTATTTCTTTCTTTTATACTTTTTATTTTTTAATTAGTAGAAATTTTTACATTTTTCGATAACCTTTGTATTTCGATTATCTTATAACTTATCGAAAAGGTGAAAAGGATCAGTGATGGGCGGTGGGTAAATACCCAATTTGTAGATAAATAAAATCTGGGTTTTGACGACCGCATAGTAAATAACCGGTATAATACCGGGAATAGGAATATACCAAGCTATATTAGGAATATTGTAGATATATTCCTGATATTACTGGTATATTTCTGGTATTATACCGGCTATTTACTATACTGTCGTTAGAAATACCTTTTATAAAATTAGACTGTTCATCTAAATTTACAGGTATACAGGGCGGTGACAATTTTGCATCTCAGAAACTACGAGAGATACGAATTCGGTTAAATGGGACAGAAGTTGTGTAATTAGAAGTTTGACAAACGTAACTGTTATATTAAAAATATTTTGTGGTGTGTTGTTGCATAATTGACTAATTTCCAAGCATCGAATGGATGAAGGAACGAAGTGAAGTGACGAAGTGAAGTAATGCGGCGAAGGGACGAAGGAGCGAAGTGTGAGTGGCTGTAACATATGGGCTTTAAACTTTATTAGTTTTTCTATTTTTATGATTCTGTATCAGTAGACCTTAAAAAATCTAGACAAAAAAGTCGAAAAATACATTTTTGTTTGATGCAATTGAAATAATCTCTTTAACTTTAATGTATTTCTTTCAGAATAGACTGAAAATGGTTGATTTGGGTTCATCCAGCTCATCGTCAGGCTCACCGAACAGATTCGTTTGCCCTAACGACCGCCAGTTAGCTCTAAGGGCCAAGTAAGTCAAACAATGATTGTTAAAGGTTAACAATTAGCGGAAGTTCTCTACCTGAACGGAATATCTAAGTTAATAAGCCGTGTTTAAATTGGTTAAGTGAAAATCAAATATGTTTACGTTAACGAGATCATCAAAGAGACAAGGGTTTCGTTTGACAACAATAATTATTATCCTTTCTTGTTTCAAGATATTTATTAGTTTTGACCTATATACACCTCTCATACACCTCTCATATACATCTCATACACCTCTCATACACCTCTCATACACCTCATACACAAGGAGAACGGCAGTTTGTATTGAAATGAAATTTTGTGAGCATATATAGGTTAATTCAGCACTTTTTAAAAATCTAGAGAGTTCTGCAGGGTGTCCTCAAAAAAAGTTACATATCAAAGTTGTATTTTTTGTAATGGAACACCCTATACAGGGTCTAAAATGTCAATATTCCATGGATATATTGATAAATGAGGTCTAAATTATAAGAAAATGCATTTTCTACGAAAACTTGAAGGGATAGGTAAAAAAATGGTATAATACAATTTGATAGACAATTTAATTGTGCATCTGATTCTCCTAAAATATACAGGGCATTCCATATGAGAGAATATGGAATGGAGATATATTTAATAAAAGAGAATACCATTAATTAAATATATCTCCAGTATTTCCTGTATTAATTGGTTCTCTTTAACAAATATTTAAACAGTTTTTTTTTATTTTTAATGAAATAAACGATCTATATCGACAATATTAGTATCTGTGCTCTTTAAAAATTTGGTACCTCTTTAAAAATAATCTAAAATGTCAGTATTCCATGGGTATATTGATAAATGAGTTCTAAATTACAAGAAAATAATAGATAGGTAAAAAATGGCATAATAATTTGATAGTTAAATTGTGCATCTGATTCTCATAAAATATAAAGGGTGTTCCATTTAAATTAAAGAAGTTATTGCCGTTTGAAGCTAATAATTATTTAAAATAAATTTTTAGACACTCTGTATAAGGTAGTATTATTTGTATTATTGCAACACAATAACTGATCAATAAATAAAGTTCATTAAATATTTAGTATTAAAACATTGATACCCTTGGAGAAATGAAGCTTTAAAATTTTTACTGCAATTTCACAAAATTGAAAATATTTCAAAAACGGTAAGGTTTAAGTATAATAAACCTTAATCAAATTTACCTTTATTTTAATCGTAGAAACTAAAAATGTAATAATATACAGGGTGTTCCATTTAAAAAAATACAATTTTGATATTTTTTATTTATTTGGGACACTCTGTATTTTGTAAAAATATTTTTAAATTGTAGCTCTAATAGTCCTTCAACGAACCCCAAACTTACAATTTGTAAAAATCTCATCGTTTAGCTACAATACTCCGTGTCGTATGTGGTGAACAACCCTGTATAGTCAAAGTAACATTTACTAAAGGTTGCCAGTAAAAGTTATTCTATTGTACAGGGTGAGTTTGGTGAGGAAGAGTATTGGTGGAAGTTAGAACAAATAAAACTTTTAAGAATATTGGATCGCTTCAATATTCAAGCTGATCCACATATCTTAAAATTACAATTTACTTCTTTAGTATATTTATTAAAAATTATAGAAAATATCGATATAACCTTCTAAATATTAAAAGGGAAAACATAGTAAACATTTTAAAGCGTACAAAACAATTAAAAAAACATTCATATTGGTTCAAGGTTTGTTTAATAAAGTTATTCAACGTGGACACTACGAACAATACGTTTAATAAGTTCATAGTCACTAGGTTCCTTAATATCTTTTTCTCCTGCACGCTTAACTTTTGCTGTGCCATTATAGGCACCTATTGCAAAAATGAAAAACAAGCACTATTACATTCTTGCGACTCCCTAGTTTACCTTAATTTTTCACAGGAAATTTCTTCTATAGGGAAAATACCGCACAGCAGTTTTTACAATAATCATAGACAATAACAAAACAATTATACATAACCACAAAAAACAAAGCGAATTTACGCCAGATGTCTGTCAACGTTGCCAACGTTTAGCCCAATTTAATGTTGTCCTTATATTGGCTATTATTCAACTTATCCTTATTTATCCTTATATTTTGCAACATGTGTCAACCGCGCTAAATGAATCTTTCAAACTCAGTACCACAATAGAAATCAACCAGAACGCCGACTCTGCCGAATTTGATGACGTTTCACGAATCGCGACGCCATATTAGCAGCGGGTAACTCTCAGGGCCGGATTAAAACGCTTTCGCAGGCTGTTGTCAGAGTTATATTGAATAAGTATTTTTATTATCTGATATGTGATTACAGACTGAGCGTAATACGTTATTTCGAAAGGTAAAGTTTGTATAGATAACTCAATGGACTCGACGCTACGAACAGCTGCTGTCTTCTGCGATAGTCAGAATTCAACTAAATCCTGACCTGCCCTGACTAAACCGATAACGCCGCTACATTGACAGATGTTACCCGCTCATAATGGAATTTTTAGGTTAGCCACCGTTTCGCGCGCATTTTGGGAGTCAACCTTCTGGTTGATTTCTATTTTGTGCTCAGTACTATCGTCCAGGGAATGCTAGCATACTCTAGTAAAAGTTCAAACATAGCTGGCGGACTTTTACCGGGGATGGCGTGGCGTAATCTTAGCAAATCAGTGAATGTTAGCTTTTACTAGTAATTGTTAACAATCACTGATTTCCAACTTTTATTGTAACATATAATTGGAGTAACGGAACGATGAACGACGCACGGACGCAGATGCATATGAATTCGACTTAAGATTTTACTTTGCAATTTGTCAAACTTTTGTTCACTTAAAGGTTATCAAATATAAATAATTCAAAAATTATAACAACAAATTATTACAAATTATAACTGTTAAATCGGTTGGTATTGTTACGGATTCCGTGGGTCCACTAATTTAAACTCACGATAAAATACTTAACGAATTTATTTTCTCACTTTATACACAATTACTAACTTATAACACACAACAAACTAACTATTTATAAGATTCCTTCACCAAATTGTCCGATTTTCAATTTCCACGCGGTATATTCAAATTTCAAAAACTCTTAAACTTCTCCAACTGTCGTAAGCGCTCCTTTATATAGCTGTGGTGAGTGTTTCGCGAACAATCTAAAATTATCGGGACGGGTCCGCCATCTACTAGTACATTCTATTGTCTGCTTCGCTTACTTGTCGACTTGATTAAGAGATGGCGCTACAACAAAATATTGTCTTCAGGTTTCTGGACACGTTGCGGTTTTAGTTGCTCGCTTCTCCGACAGATGGCGCCACATACACCTTGACATTGCCCCCTTCTCAAATTTGATCGTCCCGATCAAGGTTTCCTGTCTGGTATCTCTTCAATCGATCCAGATGAACTACTTTCATCTTACTTCTAGGGCTGCGTTGAATCCGGTACACTACATCATTTATCCTCTTGATGACTGTATAAGGACCTTCCCATGCTGGAGTTAACTTTGGGGACCTTCCTTTCTTGCGCTGTGGATTATACAACCATACTCTATCGTCCTGTTGAAATCCCGTAGAATTAGCTCTGAGGTCGTAACGAGCTTTCATCCGGTCACTGGCTAGCGTAATCTTACTTCTCACGGCCTTATGAATTCCCAATAATCTTTCCTTCCTAACGACTCTTTCGAACGACCGTCCAACGTTATCTTGTTCCATTTTTCCTCCAGATCGAGTACTTGGTCCTTGTCTAGCTGCGCAAATCTTACAACGTTGACACCATTTCTTAACATCTTCACAATAATCCACCCAGTAAAAACGGTCTCTCAGCTTGCTCAGGGTCTTGTTTACCCCAAGATGGGCTCCAGTTTTACACCATGAATTTCTTCCAATACCTGGGTGACTTTCTTCCTTGGTACCAGTAACTGAGTTGTTACGGTCCTGCCATCCGCACTTTCCCACGTGCGCTTTAACAATCCATTCTCAATCACCAGTGAATTCCACTGAGCCCAGAGAGCTTTGAAAACCAGCCCTCTGTCCGCAATATCCTGCGACGGTGGTCTCTCGCCGTTACCTTCCTTGAGGTAACGGTAGTAGTATTGCTCCGATGCTCCGTAGTATTGCTCCGATGTCTGGATCTTCCATTTGATCTTTCCTCAATTGTAACGTCGTCCATTGTTCGTCAGTTCTCAGTTTAAAATTCTTTACTCTGATAGTGCTTTCGCGATGTTGCATTTTCTTGTCCAAGGTAGCTCGTCGTCGATCTAGGTCGTTGTCGATAATTTGTACCCGTCCTACACGGCACCCAGCGGTTTTCTCTAGTTTCCCGAACATAGTCTTCTTGGTATCACCAGGTATCATCACAATTTTCGATGATCTTTCTTCCATATTTCCTGGTCTCTTCTCTTTAGATACAGAAAATTCCTCATTTCCGATTTTCAGGATGTTTCTATGGTGATCAAACGTTTTCGTCAAACCATGTTGACTGATGAACCAAACCAAACCACATCCATACCCATGATAAAATCATCTTCAATGTCTGCCACTAAAACGCTATGCCGAAACTTCAAATTCCCTAACTCCAATTCCATGGAAGCCTCTCCCCGTACAACGGCCATTTCCCCCGTAACTGTACGTAAATACACTCTTCTTCTAAGAGGCATCATCTTCAATCCTTGCACTGAGTTAGTCCGCACCAACGATACCATAGCGCCTGTGTCCACAGTCATTCGAATTCTTCTACCATTGACCTTCCCGTTGATCACCAAACTGTCAGCGGTTTTTCCTAGACTCCTAACGGAAAACATCCTAGGGGCTCTGTTTTCTTCAGCCAATACTCGCTCATTAGTGTTGATTTCCTGGTGCCTATGTTCTCTCGATGGTAAACGGAATCGCATTTGGACGCGGCAATCCCGTTTGATGTGGCCATTCCTGCCACATCTATAGCACCTTATGTCCTGGGATCTTCCGATGTGCCGATGTTCTCTGGATAGTAAATGGAATCGCATTTGGATG